AACACTTGTTGGTCCTCGTGAGAGGAAAGTGACAGGACGAGTCTCCCGTCTCGTCGCAGCGATAGTTGTGGCACATCCCTTCGAATTGAGAAGAAAAACAAAGAAGATACCTTAACCAGAAGACTATAGCAGAGGCAGATATCGGTCCCATGAAACGAGCCTATACTAAGACCAACGAAGACACTACACACCTTCACATCGATTCGTCGTCGTACGATGTCGTCATAGTCCAGTAAGTTAACATAAACCCAACTCCCTCCTTGGGTCGTGTTATATGTAGTGTAAGTAAAAAATTGAATATTGGAATACAAAGGAGATCTAGATGAAATACACCCATCCACCAGAAAATACTAGGGAAAATGAAAGTTGTCCGGAGAGGTGGAACACTCGGGGTACGTACAAGCATTACTTCAAACAAACCTGGCCCTACCTGTCCAGTAGAGATAGGAACATCAAAGAAAAAAGGAAAAGTCAACACGACTAAGGAACAATGAGCAAAGGGACTCGAAGGTATAAACCGAACGGAACGGACAGTATTCCCCCCTCTAATAGTACAGTTCTCCTCTTTTCGTGACCTTCTTCTTACTCCTTTATGTCTAGGTGTTTGTGTACGACGAAGGACACTAATGCTGACTTTTGACCCAAAGCCTTATTCACTTTTTGTGTGTTATCAAGGACTTGTAGTTATACATCTTATAACACATAAGTCAAATCTACTACTTTTCGATATTTGGGTTTGCAGTCGTTCGTGACGGTCATTCGGAATGGATTTTATTGAGGTACTCAGAAGGAAGTTCACGTGAACTAAAGAGGTTTGTTGGAAACGCTGGCGATTTTCTCGAGGTGTGTAGGTCCGGCGTTCTGCTCTAGTTAACTCGACAGGAAGAGTCTTCTTTTTATGAGAGTCGGCCCGAAAAAGGTGCGGACGGACGGGAACGGACAACCGACGACTTTAATGAGTGTTCTACGATGCTCGAGAATGTAACATACTTCCTTTGCTGGTGTCCGGACCTCAGGTATTTTTGTCAGGGGCTACGTCGACGGGGTCAAGGTCGCGTGCATCTGTGTACGTCATGTTCCGGTCTCGGGACGCCGCGCGCGGTTACGCGCAGGTGTGTCTCCGCGAGATGAGGAGGCGACAGATAACTCCGTTGCGTGGAGATTAGTCTCCTTGTGTGTGACTGGCGGGCCGACCGTAAATACGAGTCCTGTTCGGAGGTCGACACTCGACAACTTAGGGCAGAGGTGTCAGCCTGCGTGCCAGTACCAGGATTAGCATACGGGACTTTCATTTAAACCCAAAAATTTATTGTAAAGTACCGACAGGAACTTGGGAGGTGGATTGTTGTCCTGTAAAACTTTATCGGACTGTCTTTCAGAAATAATTGGTTACCGAACGGGGCACATTAATTCTTTTTAAGCTTAAGACAAAGGTCCCTCTTTTCCGAAGACAAAGGGTGTTTCAGCACGACCATAATCGTAAAAAAGAAGGTGAATTTACACTTTACAAACGTAATTCCCTATGTGTAGTATATGAGAAATTCGTTAGTAGAACTTTTCTTCCCGCATTTTGGATCTACAACTGTATTCTTGGTAAATCTCCCGACCGTTATACTTCTTTTTCATAGTAATCTGTGATAATATACGTGGTTGTATGTAGACATAGTTATAACACCTACTAAAACCTTTCAACCTGTAATGAAAGGCGTTTTATAAATGTGTTATCCGCGAAAGTGGGTGTCATGAAAAGGGTGTTGCCAGTAACTCGTTGAATCAAGTAGTCTTGAGAAATCAAGACTACCTTGATTCATGGTCTAGAGGCGCAAGTGTGGCCTTTACTTCAGGACTCCCTCACTAAATTGTTTACTTGGCGACTGCAGTGAAGAAGAAGAAGACGAAACCCAAATGAGTCCGTCCGACTGTGGCGTGTTGAAGTGGCCGCATATGACGACGGGGCTTCAGGGGCCGGCCTTCAGAGGCATCAACCCCTGGAGACGGTGAGCCGCGGGCAGTTGACCTTCGGAAGTCTCCATTTTAGCGGTCTTGCGGCTGTGGAGGAGTACGAGTGGCGAGGGTTACAAAAGAAAACACTAACGGTATTTCAATCAGAGACGACGCAACCACGCGACCCGATGGTACGGATTACGATTTTACGATATACGCTGCCTATTATTTTACCGCCGAAGTGTTTTGGAAACCTCAAAATTGCCCCGGGCACCAAACGTTCAGCGGGTGGGGGTTAGTCTGTATCCTTGAAAAACAGGGTGCTTTCATGACGAGAGATCGTCTTATTCCGCCATTTTTTCCAAGACTAATTGACTTGAAAATCAAGGCCGAGAAAAACAAACACCTTGCGTGTAAAGCCTTGATATAGCCGTGATATGATCATGATTATGATCACACCAACCGTTTTTATTTCGTGAACTCATTTTTCAAATATTTTATTGTAGGTGGAAATGGACATCTCCTTTGGAAAAGTTTTGTTGACTTTTATTTGACCACAGGTAGTAAACTATATTACCTCCTGCTATAGTTATCCGGGATCTGGGTCCCCACCAGTTTGAAGTTAGAGTAGTGCCCGTGTTAATCGGTAATTACCAGACGTGAGATTCCGCCAACATTGTAAATCTGATAAATTTATGTATGGTATATTTAATCCCGGCCCTGAAATTTGTGGCGCAATTACATTCGTAATGTAATTAATGTTGTTGTAAATTGCGCAATATTTTTTAATGCGTGAAAATTAGCGTGAATAAAAACGGGACCTACTCAAATCCCCATGGCGCTAATATGACTTCGGTGGTTGATTGCAAGTACATGAAGCTGTTTTTGTTTTGTTGTCCACCTTGTTATCAGTTTGCACCTTGCTTCTTCGATCTACTCTTCGAGAAACCACGGGGCACTTACCCTGTAACAACAAAATTTTTTGCCTGCCTACCTACTCGCAGTTATTCTTCGTGCCAACACAACGTTCCTAATTAACGTCTTCCTAAGCGTATAGTAGGCGTGCGTGTACGTTCGGAGTTCATAGTTGGCAGTTAGCGTTTTGTATTATCGTCGAATCGCACCTTCGATCGCACCTGCAATCGGGCTTGGAGCCTCATGTTCCTGGGGTGTGGGTTAAGGCGCAACCTAGTTTGTCCACGGATACGTTAGTCTCTCCTAAAATAAAGAAGTAGTCCTATAACCTTCTCTATCCTCCCTAACTCCAGTTAGTGACCGTGAAAAAATTAAAATAAAATTTTACCATGTGAAATACAACTTGATAAATACTGCAACAACCAACGGTGTGACCGTAAAACACTTGACAAATAACAAAACCGGTTCCCAATTAACTCTCTCAACCTGACTTTAATAATCTAAAAAATTTAGTTGACAACCATTTGAGTTGTTTCAGACCGAATCCGGAGACTTCGTTGTCTTCCTCTACAAGAAAGATTATCAGTCCCAAGGGTTAGAAGACTTACATGAGACTTTCATAACACAAAGCGCACAAAATGAATTATATCAAATGTTTCCAGATGGATGGATATCCATGGACTTAGAGACTTTACATGACTATAAGGATTTATAACGATAACGAGGGAAATACCGTTTTTAACGTGAAAAGACAACCAGACACCAATTCTTGGAGGGAACTTTTTTTATATTGTTACAAAACACACGAATTCGATTACAGTAAGTCAGTAATAAGTTACGGCATAGGATTTTAGGTACACTTTTTTAACGAAGAGTGACGAAGAGGGTCCAGTTTATAAATATACGCTAATTTTTACGCTAATTTAACGGCTAATGTAAATTTACT